GCGGCCAGGGGCGGGCGGAGCGCCGGGCACTGATAGGCCGGGCGGATGCGCAGGCAATTTATCATCCCCGGCTCCCGCGGAGGCAGGCAGCGCGCCTGTCACCAGTATTGATTTCAGAGGATGGACTAAATTTCCTAGGATTTCCATTAAGAATTAAGCGAGGAGGGGAGGGAGGGGAGGGGGGGGAGAGAGAGAAGCGAGACCCCGAAATCACAAAAGTGGCTGCTGCATATGGAGTTCTCTCAGTCAGCCAGCCAGCTCCCCCAGCGCCTGCGAGCCTGTATTTTGGGGGAAGTATAGAGTCTGGAGTGAAGAGTTGAGGGAAGCAGCACTCGAGTTTCTGAGGGACATTGGAAAACAGAGCTGTCCATCACCGCTGCTCATCTGCATAGCCCGGCGGGCCCGCCCCCTCCCGCTCCGGCCCCGGCCCCGGCTCCGTCTCCTCCCGCGGCCGGCAGGCAGGCGGGGAAGGCAGACAGCGGAGGCAGGCAGGGAAGGCAGGCTTTGTAATGCAAGGCAGGCTCTCCGACTGTGAGCATGCTGCTGAAGCCAAGCAATGATACTGTTCATCAGCTCCTCTCCGGACTCGCGGAGCCATGAATACTCTTCCATACACTCTCCATTACACACCCTCTCTCCCTCTTTCTATACCCACAGGGGCAACAGAGAAGAATGCGTATAACATATATGTGCATCCCCTCCCGCACGCACTCTCCGAAGCGCTGCAGGCGCGCACACACGCGGGAGATGTGTGCGTTCGCACGCGTGTGAGCGCGCAGGGCCGGGCGCGGCGCAGCCGGGCAGCGCGCACGGGGAGAGCGAGCACTTGGTAAAAGTGCTGCCCTATATGGTAGGGAGAGGAGCAACTGCTCAAATCAGCAGATCCAGGATCGCACTGTCCCTGGCAGAGTGAACTTTACAGTTTTGTAAGTTGCCACGAACAGTGACGATATAGTAATGCAGCGCGTTTGCACATGAAAGGAAAAAAAAAAAATTCCCCCATCTTTCTTTCAGTTCTATTCTTCCCTGATGCGTGAGCAAGAGGCCTGGGTGACTCCTTCCGGGAGGCTATCTGCATTCTCCCCCCAACCCTTCCTCCTTTTGGCAGATCAGATAAACCTCCTAGAGTATAGTATCTATGTAATTAATTTCTTCTGCCCTCTCCCTCCGGTCCTGGACATTTTCAGCTTCCAGGCAGTGCCAGCGCTGCTCCAGCCCGGGCGCAGGAGGACGAGGCGGTGGCACCGCTCTTGTCTCCTCAGTGCGAGCTTAAATACACACGTCTGTGTGCACGTACATTTCCTTAATGGTTAGTCCAGAAGGTCCCTTCAGAAGCTGGAGGAGAGTTTCCCACACTCAAGCTCTGCCCTTTGCTTCCCGGGAGGAGTCGCGGTGCCCGCGGTCCCCTGTGTCGGTGTCCCCATGCCCATACCCCATCCTGTCGGGCTCCCCTCCCCCGGCACTCCTTCAGTCCGACAGCCCCGGGGCACGGCTCTGGGCCCTACCCGTCCCACCGAGCCGCTGCAGGGGGCCGAGGCGGGCTAGGCCTCTCCGCGCATCCTGGTCCGCACCTGCGCCCCGCAACTCCACCGCCGTCCGTGCGGAGCAGGATCAGGGTCGGTCCGGCAGGCAGGGATGGGGCTGCAGGTCTGGAAGCCGCCGCGCTTCCCATAAGCCCTTCACGTGCGACCTTCAGCAAGTTGCCAGCCCGGAACGGCCTCATTAATGTTGTTTAGGGGCTCGGGGAAACTGTGTTTTATTTTCAACATATATGAGTGCGCACTTAGACAAATGAAGTTGCTTGACATTTATGGCCGAGTTCTTCATGAAGTACCTCAAGTAGTTTCAGTCAGGTAGGATGGAGACGACGCCGGGGAATCGGTTAGCCACCGGCAGGAGGGGAGATGGCAGTACCTGAAAAATTGCGGGTGTGCAGAGCAGCCTATTGTTAATCAATTAAACATGCAGCTGATAAAAAAAAAAATACACTTGGAGAAGCGGTTTCAATAGCTTGGCGCACACAGCGGGGAAAATGCCGTGCTGGAGCTACGGTCAAACCTCGGGATGTGTAAAGTGTCTGAAGCAATCCCAGATTTCCGATTTCTTTTTCTATCTCAGTTTTTATTTCTCTCCTTTACTCTCCTCCTTTTCTGTGAAACCCACATACCAGTTTACCCCTGCCGCTACATGCAGCAGCAGAGATCTGGCCACCAGACATACCGGATTAATTCCTATCCAGATCTATCAGCTGGCCTGTAGAAGAGGCAATCCTTAAAAAAGCAGGTGAGGGGGAGGAGGTTGACACCAACAGGTATTTCTTGTCATTAACTCCCGACTTCCTGATAAGAGAGTGATAAACAACTGGTAAACTCAGTGCAACAGATTACAGAAAAGGCATTTGCTTCCCTGCTTGGTGATTAATGCGCATATATTAAATAAAAATAGATACTCTAAAGACAAGGGCTTTATATAAAACATATTCATATTTCAGTATTTCTATGGAATAATCGATATCATGCGACTACATCTGAATAGTCAATTGCTGTGTTCCGCAGACCGATTTCTAAGTATATGAGCTCTGCTTCTGAAAGGAGCAGCAGCTGGAGAGCCGAGAATGCAAAATTAATTATAACATTATAAAGTCATACATGAATCTCTCTAAGCCAACCTGCATGCCTTGCAAAATGTGCTATACTCTCTGCATTTTTATTTGGGAAGCTGTTCTTTTTCCAGGAGAAGTGGTGTTTATCTTCGCGAATTGATTGCTTTTAGTTTTTCCTCTTTAATAATTAGTGAAACAATACAGATTGGGAATACAATGGCCGTTGTGTTTACATTATAACAGGGGATTAATGCTATTAAGTGAGTGTTACAGTTATGACCTGGGAAGAGTACTTAAATAAATACCGTGATCCCAAGAGAACTGATGTAATTCAGTGCAGAGTGTGTGTAGATACGCACAGACACACACGCACACACGAGAGATACAAATCTCCATACGTATCTACACGCATAGACATATGCGCTACACACGTTAAGTCTACGTGGCCACCCGTGTAAAATGTAGGTGCTGGTTTTGCCTCCATCTGCATGCCTTTCGTCTACGAGAATAAATTTTTGTGATTTTGGTGTGAGGAATGTTTAAATCAGGAACATTACTCCCCTTTCTCCAGTCATATAGAGCAACAGATTATATTTCTGATGTTTTAATTTGTGCAGTCCAAAAATATTGTTTCATATACAGAAACAGGGTTAATTTCGCAATCAGAGATTAATGGAGTAAAATATTATCATTTCAAAGACAAGTTCTTGCGTTGATTTGATTTGCATAATTTTTGTACTGCTTCAGAAAGGAATGGATTTAGCCACTGCAAGGAGCCGGTATGCATTTTATTACAAGTACACCACTAATTTGACTCTGCACAATGTGGAGGACTAATAGCTAGTGGGGTCATTTAAATATAGCTGGAGAAGGCTTTGCAGTACACAAACCAGAAAACTGTTTCAATAAGGTTTCTAAACAGCGATCAGTGTCTGTATTTAACTTCTTCTCGGAGTTATCTCTGTTTGATTTGAATGCCTTTCGCAGGGAAGAGGTTTTTCATTTGCTTAGCTCCACCGCCGAAATCTAATTTTCCCACAGTACTACCCGTTACTAATACAAAGCCGTCTAACTTGCGCTGTCAAACACCAGAATAGTATTACATGCACTTTTTATTGGTAATAACTGTGGCAAATTAACATGCCTACACAGAGACATTAAGACTTTACACACTGTGTTTTTTATTTTAATAATCTATTCATTAGGTCAACGTTTACCTTTCCAGATTTTAAACTGCGACCTCGCCTTGTCTTCTTTAATTCGGTTTCTTCCAGCAGAGCTGAGAAGGTAGACGAGAGCTCCCCCACCACCCCCCGCTATCGCTCACTGCTGTCCTGGGAGACAGGTTTTGCGTTTTGTCATTTATTAGCTACATCTCCCTGCACCAGTGACAGAGGTTGAAGTTTTCGGGCGGGTGAAGTTGAAAGCCCCGTCCGTGGGGATGGGGCTCCCGCTGCCTCTGCCCGGCATTCGGGCGTCTGCCCGGGGGCCATTCACTCCGGACCCCGCTCCCCCCGGCTTTACACAAGTGAAAGAAGAAGAAAAAACATAAAAACACAAGCCTCGTTGGGGTGAAGGAGAGGTTTCCCTCCCCGGGAGGGCTCCCTGCGGCCCGGAGAGGCGCACACGCCTGTCACCCGCACAATGCCAATTGCCCAATTGTCGTGACACCGGTCACAGCAACTTTTCAAGCAAAGAGAAGTGGAACTTGGTGGGGTTTGAAGATGTAACACAATGCGCAGCTGAAACAGTTTCCTGTGACATAACCACACAATGGTCTGGGAATGCTTTCTCCTTTCTCTCATGAAATGGGGGACCGCCACCATCTCCCGGAGACAACGACGTTAAATAATAGACTATTGTATTTAAAAATAACAAATGACACACGCATACTGTGCAAGCAGAGTTGTCCGGTTTTCTAGTAAAAGGAGCCCAGTTTACAGGGCTCTTTCTAAGCGAGGCGCTTTGCGGGAGCGACCTGTGCGAACGCGGGGACACGGAGTGAGCTGGGCGAGCCCTTCGCAGAGCTGTTCACAGGGTTAAAGCGAAGAGCGGTGAAAACGGTGAGAGAAAAAGGAAAAGAAAGAACTTTTCTTCGGCCGTCTTCGGGATAAAATCAGTTAGTTCAAGCCGCGT